TCATCTATCTTGGGCTGTCTGCAAACAGCCTTGAGCCGGAGGCAACCAAGGTTGACGTCATACGAAAGTGGCCTCAACTGACAAACGTACGCGAACTGCGTTCTTTTTTGGGTTTGGCCTCGTATTATCGGAAGTTTGTGCCCAATTTTTCTGTCATTGCTCACCCACTCTCGAGACTAACAAGTAAGAATGTTGCTTGCGTGGTGTGAGAAATGTGAGACTGCGTTCCAAGCCTTGAAAGAGGCATTGGTGAGTCATCCTGTGCTCCGCATTGCGGATTCCAACCTCATGTTCGTGGTTACTACGGACGCGAGCCAGTTTGGGATTGGTGCAGTGCTGCAACAAGATGATGGTGATGGCATGCGTCCGCTCGAATATTACAGCAAACGCATGCCCAGCCACAAGGTAGCTACCTCCACATACATGCGTGAGCTCTATGCCTTGCGCGAGGCGCTCACGCATTGGAAGCACTACCTCTTGGGTCATCACTTCAAGGTCTACTTAGATCATCAGACCTTGCAGTGGATTAAGACACAAAGTGATCTCTCCCCGACGCTGACCCGCTGGTTGCATGGCATTGATGTGTACAATTTTGAACTGAAACATAAGAAAGGCTGTTATAATCGTGTTGTTGATGCTTTGCCGCGTCACCCTGAGTTTTTGACTTGCCTTGTGAGTTCGTATGACCTCCGAAGGAAACTGAAGGAGGATCTGGTCGAACACACCGCCAAGGATCCGGACCTTAGTCCCATCCTTGAGCAGCTCAAGGCTGACCCTAGGAGTCAGGCTGATTTTCATGAGTGTGAGGGTCTTGTATTCCGCCGGTATGGGAAGTTTGATCTTTTGTGTGTACCCAACCAGCGCCCCTCCGGACTCATTTCTTGGATTTGGCACATGGCCGGAGTGGACATTTCGGCTTTGAGAAGACTTATGGAAGTCTTATGCAGCTTGATTGGCCGGGAATGAAAGGATCTGCTCAGAAATTTATTGTTGACTGTCAAGTTTGTCAAAGGACCAAGGTCCATAGGCATTAGCCTTATGACCTGCTGAAACCCCTCCCCATTTTTGATGGACCCGGTGAGTCGATTTCCATCGACTTCACGAACATGGGAAAGGTGAGTGAGGCAGGGAATTCACAAGTCATGGTCATCGTGGACTGTTTTTCCAAATTTCTGAATTTGATTCCTTTCCCTCCCCATGCCCCAACTGAGCTTGTCATCGAAGAATTTCATCAGCAATACATTCTGCAGTTTGGCCAACCGAAAACTATTGTGAGTGATCGGGACACCAGATTCATTAGTAAAGATTGGAAGGACTTCACTTCTCAGATCTACAACATTAAACTCAACAAGACTTCTGGTCGACACCCCGAAGCCGATGGATTGGCTGAGGAAATCAACCAGACTGTCATCCAACTACTGCGCGCGTTAATTGTTCCAGATCAGAACATGTGGGAGAAGGAGTTACACCTTTTTCCCGCTATAAGAGTCAGGAAATTTGTGCTTAATAGGCTTTTTGCGGGGACGCGACTCAACCTCTGTTGTGGCCACTACTTTGGCGCCTTCAATGGCGCCGACACAGAACTTCTCTGCGCCTTCCTTCAACTTTTTAACTTCGGTCCCGACGTGGGTTACCACGTCGTGCGCGAACTCTCTAAATCTAGACCGGATGGCGTGAAGGGTCACATCTTGACCCTTATTGGCTTGATGTTGTTCAAGCCAAGCCTGACTCAGGATCTCAAGATAACCCAAAATCTTGTCTAATTTGGCAGGGGTTTCTTCCCTCGCTTGGACCTCCTGCCTGCACGCCTGAATCTTCTCCACCTCTTTGGCCATCCGGTTGGCCTCCTCTCTCCTTCTCTTCTTCTCCCTGGTCAGCCGCAACTTCCACTCCAACCTCTTCTCATCTTCCGCGGTCTGACGGTCCAGGGGGTCCTCCATCGCTTCCAGCTCCCTGGCAAATGCTTCTCTCTCCTCCTGAGGCACGTACGACATTGCCTCCTCATCTTCCCCCAGCGATAAATTAGCCACCCACTCGCTGATCTTCTTCTCCATCCATCCATCTTCTCCCTTCACCCCACTTGTCTCTCCTCTCTCTCCCCTATGCCTTCTCTCGAGGAATTCATCTTCTTCTTCTTCTTTTTCTGCTGCTGCTTCTTCTTCAGCAGCCTTCCTTCTCTCTTCCTCCAACTTCTTCTTCTTCATCGCCTGCTCCTCCACTATCGCCTTCAACTTCGCTTGCTTGAGGAGCTCCTTCTTCTCCTTCTTCTCCCTTCTCTCTCTTAGTATGGCGGCGGCTTGCTCCTCCTGAGCCTGAGTATAAGGGGTAGTACTCTTCCCACTACGGAGGTCAACCATGGTGTCGGGTGCACAACCGGTCAACGGTTCCACTCCTCACCACTGAGACTCTACCCCCTGACTTACATGACCTACTGACTCAGTCTAAGGATTACAGATTCCGAACAGGATCCTGTCAACTAGGGTCTCTAGCCTAGACCTACTCTAAGGCTGTCACTACAGGACCTGTCGCTGATCAGGAGGCATTTAAGCAGATCCCCCGTAACTCCTCAAGAATTCTTTAACATCACAGACAGGACGACGCGATCAGCAGGTCCTCTCAAGACCTTGACGGCCTGTTGTGCAGCCCACAACTCGGATTTTGGGCCTACCGTGCCACACCGTGCAGCCCGCCGGTCGGTACCGGTCCTTGGGACGGTTCGTGTCCTCCGGGACAGTCGAGTCGTCAGACACAGTCTTTAGCCCTACTCCGCCCGTGTGGGTTTGGTCAACAAGGCCCTATCCTTCATTCACAGAGTCCTATCACCTGGACAAAAGAGACTTGATGCAAAAAAAAGGGACAGACAGACTTGACTCAGCAAGTACCACAAGGTGTGTGCACATCCATAGGGTGAGGGGATAGGCTGTAGGCTTGGCGGGATTATACCCGCTCCAGCTTCGTCAAATTCGTGGTCAGCACTCTCGGTCAACGCCCTGGTCAACGCTGCAGTCAACCCCCGATCAACTCCTGGTCAACTCCCGATCAACTCCCGGTCAACTCCCGGTCAACTCCCGGTCAATGCCCGGTCAATGCCCGGTCAACTCCGGTCAACGCCCGGCCAACTCCGGTTCGGCTATGGCGGCTGGCTTCCTCTTCCTCGCCACCCTTCTCCTTCCCTTTCTCCTGCCTCGCCTCCTTCTTCACCCCGGTTGTCTTCTCTTTCTCTTTTTTTTTTTTTTTCGTCTCTCCCTTCACCTTCCTCCACTTCACTTCTCTCCTCGGTCTCTCCTTCACTCCTCTCTTTCACCCCCTTCGTTACTCTGTGGTGGAGCTCTGCGGCTATGGCTGCCTCCTTCCTCTTCGCTGGACTGCACGGCGGTCTTCACAGGTGTGTGACAACCAATCTTGTATCGCTCATCTCTCTCTCTCTCTCTCTCTCTCTCTCTCTCTCTCTCTCTCTCTCTCTCTCTCTCTCTCTCTCTCTCTCGTGCGCGCGCGCGCGCCGTAGCGATGTCTTCAATCGCAGGTACACGTGGCGAACCAATCTTGTATCGCTCAATCTCTCTCTCTCTCTCTCTTCGTCGTTGTCTTCTCTGCAGGTGCGCGCGGCGGCTTCTTCACCCTACAGTTTCGCTATGGCGGACTTCTCCTCCGATGGTGCCTTCAGCTATGGCGCCCAACTCTCCCTGCGGCACACGACGATCGCGCGTGGAATAGCCGGTACCAGCTCTGATACCAATGCAATCAGACTCGCTTCTTTTCACACTTCACATACATGTAAACAGGTTGCGCAGCAAAACTGGCGACAAGGGCCCACTCAAAACTCAGAGATATGGTAACCAGGAACACAGTTCAGATACAATCTCACTTCTGATGGCTATTGCGCATCAGCGCCTGTACAAATCTCTGTTCGTCACTCACTCAACGCTGCTGCTCACACACAGGATCACCCTGGATATCCCACACGCATCACACTGTACACTCACGCACTCACACACGCTGCACTCTTCTATCAGCTATGGCGGCTATCTGCTACCCCTAACGCTATGGCTAAGCTCTCCTTCTCGCCCACTTTGTCTTCAGGCTCACTGCAACCACCTCACACAAGTCGCTGTGGCAGCGCTTCCGCATGGCTTACGCAGGAATGAATGAATGGCTGGGCGCTGCCTCTTGATTTATGCTTCTGTAGCTCGTTGGTCTGGCCCATTCCCATGCCCGTGGTGCACACAGTCTCGTATGGTACTTGCTTGACTGGACTAGGACTGACTGGGACTGGGACCGCTGACTCAGCACGGGTAGACTCCACCACTTGCCCACTTGCCTCAGCCTAAACGTGAGCAGCTTCGAAAGGCCAGTACCAGGATCTTCCGGAAGTTTCAACTCTGGCCTTTTGGATACTGTAGCAGCTACGACCTTGACCCTTCAGGACTGTAGCAGCTATGACCTTGACCTTTCAGAGGTCCTACAGCTACGACTTCTAGAACTCCCTAAGACCACTATGCTACGGGTCTACAGATCGAACCCCTATCATCTACAGACCCTACGACAGTCTACCAACTGTGTGAACAGACACAGGTCGTGGGTTCAACTCCTGGGGTCGACACAGGTAATGTACACAGGTAAGGTAAGTCTAGGGATCGAGCCCTGGGATCTCATTCGCTACCGCAAACAGGTGAATACCATTTCAAGGTCCTTATGGCCCTGTCTCCATGTCCATTCTGGGGACCATCAGGGCATCGCCACACCACTCTCGAAATGTGCAAAATGAGAATGAACTTCCTGGTAGAACATGGCCAGATGCACCTGCCACACTTTTGTCTTTTTCACATTTCCAGAGTGGTGTGGCGAGGCCCTTAGTCCGGTTCCTATTCCACCGGCAAGTCGAAAATACAATCTGAAGACACCCTCACGCTTCCTTCCATCTGGCCAAAGGACCACTGAACAGATTACTCCACTTGTTTCATTAAAACAACGAAAGAATGAAGGTAGTACTTAACACTTACCTAGCTGAACTGTAGGATTTTTCAGACGGCTCAGACTGCTGACAATAACAAGCGGCACACTAATGCTGATGGACAGAATAATGAGTACCACGGCAGCAATACATCCCCAAAAGCAGTATCTTCTGTCTGTACATGGGAACCATACGCCCAAATGATGTGCACAGCTCTGTGAATTCAGTTCAGCAGAAGAGAGATATTTGTTGCTTTTCTTCGATCCAGACTTAAGAAGACTTTCTGCCAAATAGAGGTCAGCAGACAACTGAGATCTGTGTAAGGATTTCCCATCAGCTGGCCCATGTCCAACCTGCACAAACCAAGAATACAACATCAGAGTTAGGGGGGGGGGGGGGGGGGGGGGGGGGGGGGGGGGGGGGGGGAACTGCACGGAGTCACAGACCAAAAATACAACATCAAAGGAAAAAACTCAAAAAAAAAGAGAATACAGGAACTTAAACCACCAGTTCATACCCAAGAGCGTAGCTCAGTGGGTACGCCCATGAACTGTTGAAATACAGACCGGAGTTCGAATCCAGATGATGATGGAACTTGATGAGTAAAACCAAATATTTCTGAATTGCCTGGGGGCTGGTCAGCTCAATGATGATATCTCAAGGCCCTCACCCTCTTTTTTTTTATTTTTATTTTTTAATACCAGCTCGCAGCCTCCAGCTCACACGAACCTAGGTATTGCTCTTACTGGTATACGCCGGAAGACCAGTTGGGTTTGGGCCTGGGCCAGTAGTAAAAGAGGCAAGCCACTTTGAAAAGGCACAGTTGCAGGTTCGTGAGGGTTGGAAGGCAACTTGATCAACTTAGGCTCGTGTGTGGCAGTAGGAGTGGCGATACGAATTGCAGATGCAGCAGCTCCATTGAAAGGATTCACGCTGGAGACACCCTGTCCCGGTCCCAAGGTCCTAACAAGTCCCAAGTCCCAGGGTCGTCCGTAGGGTAGGCCGTAGGGCTCTAAGGTCGAAGCGTCGTAGGTTTGTAGTGGTCGGTACCAAGGCGTCGTGGGTCGGTAGAGGTCTGTCCGGTACCCGACAAAGAAAAGTCCAGAAATGTCCAAGTCCAGTCCAACAGTCCCCAAGTCCAATTTTGCAGCATGTCCCAGGAAGGTCCGGAAGGTACCAGGCTGACAAAATGTTTGCAGCAGACAGGCCGTGGCTGAACGGTACCGGTCTGAAGCAGGCCAAGCCAAGCCAAGCCAAGCAAAGACAAGTCCTCTATTTAGCTGCTACAGTGCAGCAACTCGTCACTTGTTCAGTTGCGAGATGCGGAAGCGCTGCTGTTGCTTGCGCGTTACGGCAACTTGGGCACTGTGCGCCAGAGGAAGAAGGGGGCGCCCGCTAGATCGTCCATAGCTAGGCTAGAAGTAGAGTAGGAAGACGGCGGCCATAGCCGCCAAGGTGTAAGATACCAGAGTGGGTGTATCCAGGGTAACGATCAAGGGGAAAGTGAGAGACAGACGAGAGAGAGGGGGACAAGAGAGAAGAGAGGGAAGCCATAGCCGCTACCTGGTTGAGTCCTGTGTGTGTGCGGCAGAGCCGCTGGTGACGAACATTCTTGTATATTGGCAATAATATTGGTGACGACGTCTTCGCGTGTCAATTGTATCTCGCTTTGGCGTCTCATGTGTGAACTCTCATATGGATGATCGCTGGTGTTTGCAAAGTTGAACTTGATGGGTGCTTGGTTCATTTCACCATCTCCTTCACACCCATGCGGAGCAGCAAGCCCAACTAGAAATCTCCTACCTATCAGAAGAGTCGAAGGACCCCAGAGCGGTGGTTTTTTTCTGGGGGGGGGTTGTCAGGAGTGGCAATATGAGCAAAGTCCATACGAATAAAACAACTCCACAGGTGCAAGGGGCATGTTTGAGAAGAAACAAGCAAACCCGCGGCGGCTCCGCCCGC